ACAAGTAGACTGGCAGATCACTCATAAAGGGAATGAATGGCTGTGAATGATTTTCTTTGTGTTCAGGACGAGGTAGTATCTTTTGTGATTAAATGAGCTGTGAATGTGGTTTTTGTTTCCTTATAAATGTAGTTTTGAAAAATGGATTATGTCAAAATGCTATAATTTGCATTCATGTAGTAGTGTTTGAACAGCTGTGTTCAGGATGGGGTAGTATCTTCTGTGATGGCTCAAGCTATGAATGTGAATGTTTTTTTTGTTCCTTGTAAATGTCATTCTGTTGGTCATCATTAGATCAAAACACTATAATTAGCAAAATGTCAGTCTTATTTACATTGTCAAAATGTTATAAATTTGCATTCTTTACCTAATGTTCGAACAGCTGGTCATCATTGATCCTAAACATATTGAGCAGGCCTAGGTGAAAATCAAATAAAAACAAACGCGAGAAATATAAACCAAATTTAAACAGAATATATAAAATCGATTACATAAGAAGTCTTATATGAAAGTAAGACATCCACGTCTTATAGCATACATTAGTTACTACAGGTTTAATAATGGTTACATACACATGGATTTCGACAAATACAATAAAATCCTTCAACTCGATCACATAGTTGAAAAATATTCACAGACATTTCCCATTTTCGTTCCTGTTGTCCTCTGTAACCCCCTTTCCTTTGCGCATGGTAATGCTGATGGATATCTCGATATCTTTTTTTTTCCAGTTATTTGAGCACATTTGTTGAACATACAGGACAGGTCTTGGCACTGAGATGTAGCTTTACAATTACCCGAACAAATAGAACTCGATTCCACAAGAGATTGTTCGTCCTTCCACTCGAAGTAACTGCAATCTCTAGTACAACATAAGAATAACCTCCCTATATTTGAAGTATTTTTCTCCACCGCCATACATTTCTCAAATCCCTGGCCACATTTTGGGCATCATTTCTTTGTTGGGCAGTCTAACAAGTAGTGCCCGAGCTTTCTACAACTGTGACAAACACCCCTGTTCTTTCCTGTCATGATGCTTCAAATATCTGACATACACCTCTATTCTTCAACTTATTTGGCATTAGTATTTCTTTGTTAGAATGGTATTCAAATGCAGCACTACCATTATAAACTGAACTGTAACAGGAAGAAATGTAATGCACTACAGTTTTCTTGGGAATTTAGAGATCATTACATGGAAACAATAATCAAGAAACGAGACAGACAACCTCTTTGTTCAATTAATGTAACGGCACATCAATTACTTCAAGATCTATCACATGAACACTAGTTACTACAATTTTCTTCATTTTTTAAACAAATAACAAGAAAGTGCAAATGCTCGAAGATAATTACGGAAATCTCAGTTGACATTAACCATCCTCGACATAATTTTAGAACGATCAAAACTACACATGCAAATATACAAACACATAGGAGGCATATTAAATCCACAGCACTAACAAAACAACTAGTAAGATGTGTACTTTTTTTTTCCTTTACTATCCAACACCATCGCAAATCTACCTCAAACCCCTCAACAATCAAAAAACGTAGAGGTTCTAGGATTACCTTTGTCGTGCGTGGAAGTTGAAGAGTTTTAGTTGAGTGATTTCCTCCTCCACGATTTGAACTTACTGGACTTTTCTAATTAAACTAATTTGCTTGACTGTTGTGGGTTATTTTCGACCGAAATTTTGGTTACTGCTGCGGGTGAAATGGAGCTCCCGCTACGGGTCTTCCAGCTGCCATAGCGTTCGGACCCTGTGGAATCCTAGGGTTCTTCGATTTTGGGTGAAGGTAGAATGGGGGTTGAATGCGTTGTGATTTATAGGTGAGGTATTTTTTCATTTTTAGTAGCAGTTCTTCACATGGCAAGAATTAACTGCGTGCTGTTTGACACATCAAATTTCGTCCACCCTAGTCAGCAGCCAAACAAACGTTTCTTGGGAGTGTTATGGATGGAGTGCATTTCCAGTTAGTTCAATGATCGTTTAGATGAATGATAAAGTTGAGTGACCTGAACATGACAGCACGTAAAGTTCAGTGATTAATGAAACTTTTTACTCTTTTTTTTGGGATTGATTAGAGAGAGAGAGATAAAACTAGGTAATAGTTTAATTATATGTCCATTTTATTCATTAAATCAAGAATGTAAGTCAAGTGACCAAGTATTTTGGGCCTCTTATTTAGTCCCATTTTGTTTTTTTGTTGTTGCTTTTTAAATGATAATGAGGTTCAACTCAAAAAAATAAAAGGAAACTGTTGTTAGACTTTTGGAATTTAAATTTTTTTACTACCCTTTATATCTTGACACCCAAGGCAATGTTGCCTTGGGCTAGGGCCAGGTCTCTGTAGCGTAAGTTTATAGAAAGGAACAAAATTTTGTGATAAACCATAACTTGTAATTTGAAATATCAAGATATAATTCTTGGGCGACCATGTCAAATTTGCCGAAATAAGAGAACTAGTATAAGAAAGTAAGAGGGTTGTTCTTTTCGTATTTTAGTTTTTAGTTTTAAGTTTTGAATTCATTTTGAATTTTGTGTTTTGAGTGTTAATTTTGAAATTGCTAAAAATGCGTTCTTTTTGTCATTTTGAAAATTTGTTTTCAAAAATAAAAATATAAAAAAGCCGTGTACTTTCTAATTTTGAAAAACTGATTATCCAATATATATACAGTTCTAGTGGCTGCCCTCGTAATTAAGGCATTGAATTCCATGTTGGTAACTCAAGTTCGAATCTTAATCACCCACCAATTTATTTGAAAATTTTTGTACCGTGCATATAAAAAGAAAATTCCTTTGTATTAAATTGTGGTGAAATGTAATTGAACTCGTGACCTTCAAAAAAATTGTGACTCAACCAACTAAACTATCCTGCTATTGGCAAAATTGGCCGTTTTCTACATTTTTGAAGTTTTGGCTTGATTTAACTGAAAACAGCCAAAACGACTTTTTTTGGTGCTTTTCGTTTTCTTTGTAAATTTTAAACTCATTTTTTTGAAAATTCATTTTTGAAAATAGGTAAGTAAACGCGTTTTCAATGTTTTCGAAAATTAAAAATTGAAAAATAGCCTGAAAGCAGCAAAAAGAACAGGCCTTAAGTTTTTCAAAATACGAGAATTTTATCTTGCATTTTTCCAATGTTTGCAAGGTATTCCCTTGTACTAAAGTGTGCGTATTAAAGCATGTGAAATCTCAATATCGGGCAATAAAACTATAAGCAATAATTCTCAGATAGAGCTTTGTTAGGATTTTGTATACGTCTTCTAGGACTCGGGCTTTAGATACAACAAAATTGTCAATTCGCATGACGTACCACGATTAGGAAACTGGTTGATTAAACAAGAAATCAAAATAATTGGACACATAGTGCGACAACAAGATGGGTCAAAAATATATATAAACTTGACATTTGTCATGCTTTTTCATATCTCAATATTTAAAATGAGAGTCGATTTATCCACAAATTTCATTATTAAAATTAATAAGATTGTAGTTGTACTCAACTAAACGAACACGTCATAGATTATAGAAAGAAAACATAAAGGTCACTTTTGGTGCATCATATTAGGTTGTATAAAACAATTTGTATAAAAAATTATAATGTATAGAAGTAGATAGATGTTATCATTGTGGATTGAGTTAAAGATAGTATTTTCAATTTTTCATTCAAAATATAGTAATTTGCACGATGTTACTATTAATTTTGTAACATAGTAAGGAGGTTGGTGGTGAATTTAGGCCGAATAAGAAAAGATATAGTAAATGATATTACCCACCTTAATTCTCTGTAATATCATTTATTTAAGAATATTGACTATAATTTATAATAAATTTTTATGTGGCCTAATAATGCACCAAATGTGACCAAAAGTCACTATCCTGCTTATCAAATAATAAATATGTTATATTATTCTATATAGATAAGTGATCTAATAAGTATTGAAACTCATCTTGTGATGAGCATCAATGACATGTCGTATAAATACAATGGTCTACAAATTTATTTAGCCTTTCAACATCTGAGTTAAATTTGTTATCCACCAATAAATTTATATGTATGTCACTAGTTTTTAACACAAGGTAGAGATTGAGATTCACCGATCGCGAATTCGACTTCAAGGGCTCCACACCTCAAGGCAGCATTCCCTTCATTCTTAGATCGGTAAGCTTCACCAACTAGCACACATACATGCTTATAAGTAGGATGTTAGACAATACATGCATATGATCATATGATGCACTTTTTGGTAAAGTAGGTCTCACGCCTAATTATTGGCGACCCTGCCAAATGGAATGGAGAGAAGAGCATTCTCACTAACTGATATTCTCCCCCAATTAAGTTTTTGGGTGATCCCCTCAGATACTAACTTTCACAGACGACAAGTTTGGCCTTTTGAGGTTCCATGCTTCAAGGCAGTCTTCCTGTCATTCTTAGGTCACTAAGCTCGAATAAGTGGCACGCACGGGTAGAAAGTTAGAGAATACCTACATATGATCATATAATCAGTGTACTTTTTGGTAAAATAGGCCACACGCATAACTGTTGGCAATCTTGCGATGCCGAATGGAGATTAGAATATTCTCATCGCGTGATACCCAAGATCGTTAGATCATCTCTATCTATATATAATATACACATAATATAAGAATAATATTATTTGCAGTCGTTCAATATAATAATTGTCTTACTTGACATTCACATGTCGGGTCATTATTTGATGTATTTGATGTTTGAGTCAATAAAAAATTACTACATTAATCTATAAAATTATCATCTATCATGTGTATGTTACGTAGGATGACTGTCGCAATGAACAATTACGAATAACACTACTTATAATATAATATCAAAAAAATTTAAATTTCTAGCAATCTTTTAACAATCGAATATTGTTGTCACACGCCAAGCTCTTAACAATCACGGAATTAATTTTTTATATGATAAAAGATAAAAACCATGAAAAACAAAATACTATGACGTCGGAGAAACGCTGAAAGCTAATGTGAAAACGCGACCTCTTCCATCCCTCTTTTTTAGTTTTCCCATTTTCTCTCTACTTTTTCTTTCTAAATTGTAGGGTTTCTTGAATGGGACCTTAGAATTTATTCTTATTTTATCGATAAAGTAGGAGGAAATTAACAGCTTAACTTGTGGACATTGATGGGAGTTTTTCCCAATTCTTGATCCATTTCTGTTTTTTTCTGGAACGTTTGTCTCCCATGGAGGTAAGTTGATACGATTTAACCTAATTCACGTGGTACAATATTAGAAGCTCCATCTTTTGTGTGGATCTTTATGTAATTTTTTTTTCCGACCTGTTATTTTAATTTCTGATAAATTGTTATACATTTTGGACGACATTTTAAATGGATTTTAATGTTTTGTTCTGAAATTTATAATGCTGATGATGCGAATGAGAATTAATTCGATCAATCTTAACACGGAGGAAATAATTTTTTGTTTCTATTTTTTCTTTAATGCAATCAAATTTAATTTCAATGAGAGAGAGAGAGAGAGAGATTCTCAAAATTGTCGACAATTTTAGTTTTTCTCCGGTATTTGATTATGTAATTTATTAATTTCAAAGGTTCCCTCTGCCCTCTCCCTTTTTGAGACGTTCGAGTATTCTGTTCCCTGTTTTCTGATGCAGAGTTAGATTAACTTTTGGGCTATTATTTTATGCTTCTAGAAAAGGAATAGGCATTTTAATCTAAAATTTTAATTGATAGATTGAAGTGAAGGTAGGCTTCTTTTCTTTTTATTGGGTTTGTTTTGTGCTTTCAAGGTTCCAGGAACAGAAGAGGTGAAGAAGTCAGAGAATCATGAGGCGTCAGCTGCAGCTTTTGTAGAGGGTGGAATTCAAGAATCCTGTGATGATGCTTGCAGCATTTGCCTTGAAGCCTTCAGTGAAAGTGATCCTTCCACGGTATTTGATAATGCAGTTTTCTTTTGCCCAATTACAATGTTTTGTTTGGTCTTATGATCGTAATTGAAACAGAACATTTCAATTGTGTTACGCAGGTGACCAGTTGTAAGCATGAGTTCCACCTTCAGTGCATTCTTGAATGGTACACAACTTCTTTTTCCATTTTTTCCCCCTTTTCCTTTTATCTTTTCCACGGTTCCTCGGATGATCATCTGGTGCACATAATTGCTTTTATCATAATTAAGTTTATATCTTCTGTCCCAACATAAGGGGCGGGTCTCATGTTTCTTAAGGTGTAAAAAGAGTACCACGCATTTGGGGTTGGCCACTTAGCTAATGTAGATGGCTGAGAGCGGATAGTGGAGGAGCCTGAAACCTCAGTTACTGCTTAAATAGTCCAATGATTTGAAATTCAATCAGTACATAAATGCTCGAGACCGAGTGACCTAAATGGAGCACGTGATTTCTCCCAGATATACACGGTGGAAGAAATATGGTAGGGCTAGTTCCAAGCTAACATACAGATCCAGGGATTAATATTGTAATGGATGATGACCAAAACATGCTGAGTTAAACGGGAGGACAAGAATTTGATGCTTTCTCGTACTACACATTATATTGTTGTGCTGTTGTTCAAGATTTGGTCAATTTGATTAGGTTGCCAAATTCCATCATTGCCTTGGATCGTGGTACCTTGCTTGCGAGTTGTGTGAATAAGGTCATCCACAGTTCCACATCTTGTCACACCCTTTACCTGGTTTACTAAGACCTAGGGGATTCATATTCTGTTTGAAGCTTAATCCTTCATAATATTTTTTATTTGTCACTTCTGTTTCTTCAAATGGCATCAGTATGGCAGAGCCCAGTGATCAATTCCTGGCACAATGATTAATTGACTGAAGTAAGACCCAGTAAAGCTCTTGTTGGCTACTGATCTCACGATTAGCAATCAAGCCTGTGTTTGATTCCCATTTTTGAGAAAAAATGCATTAGGGAATAGAAGTTTTTTTTGGAGAATGTTTGGTTAAAAAGTAAGGAATTTTTTTTTTTTTTTTTTAATGACTGTGGGTGTCCAGGTTATCTTACGTGCACCTCGACTAATCCCACAAGCCCTGAAGTTTACCCTGAGGGGACTCGAATTGGTGACCATTGAGGAACAAACCCAAAGTTTGGAGAATGTAAGGAAAAGTTTTTGAAATACGTGTATAATATTTTATGGAAGAATATGTGGTTGACAATGAGTTTTGAGAAAATGTATTCTTGAAAAAATGGGGCTCAAACAAGGGCTAAATGTTATACCTGGATTGTAATTTGCTTCAATTTTGCATTTTCGAAATGCTTTTATCTATTGGAAGTAGAGACTAGCTGAGGTGGACCTTCAAACCTGACATAAATAGTTTATTTGGTGCAAATCGCCAATTAAAGAAGAAATAAGCAATGATGACGTGGCACTCTCTACTTTTCTCGGTAAAATATAAATGTGATATATTCACATCTTATGTTGATAGTTTATTTACCAAATTGAGTCGAAAGGCGAGAAGCTCCTTCCCCTCCCTTCTGTCCAAGACTCTTGAATTGGTCTCGTCTTACATCCTCTCCTCTCTGCCTGGGCAAAAGAGAGAACTTACTTATGATACAATTTTGTGAAACACCAGATCTCATTCCACGAACTCATGGATTCTTCTAAGCCATTTTGGTGGGTAGATATGTACTCGCCTCAACATTGGCATGAAATTCTTTCCATGTTGGGCTTTCAAATTTTATGTTTGCATTGGCTAGAGCCAAGAGATATCATTGGATAGGCGTTTGTGGGAGAGAAATGGAAATAATTTACTTTCTTTCTACAATAAACAGGTGTCAGAGAAGCTCTAATTGTCCAATGTGTTGGCAGCCACTTGGACTGAAAGATCCTGCCTGGTTCATTTCTGTTGTTTTCCTTCTCATTTTAGTTTCTGGCTCCTCTTTGTTTTCAACTTTATCATTGTTTATATCTACTTTAAGGGACTTTGTGTTTCAACTGTCATGGCAGTCATGAATTGCTCGAAGCGGTAGAGTGGGAGAGAAGTTCTAGGGTCAAGCCATCAAGAAATGCCACAATATTTCATTATCCCACTCTTGGGGATTTTGAATTGCAGCATGTTCGTACTCTATCTGAACAATATTTTTGTTTTCTGGTGCTCAAATGGTCGATGAACAATTTTACATTGTTGGCGTTTTTAAACTCCTTTGTAAATTCAGTTGCCAGTGGAGGTGCATAATCCTGAACTTCAGGACCACATTATCCAGCAGTTGACTGCTGCTGCTGCTGCAATGGGAAGGAGTCATCATATAGCTCGGAGGGAGAGCTCAAGGAGTCACTCATCTGGGCAAGGTCGTCATCAATTTGTTGTATTCTCAACTCAGCATAACTCATCTTCTGCTGGTCCTGTTTCAGCTTCCCTAACTCCTGGTGGAGGGGTACCTGTGCCAGCTTCAGCAACTTTAACTAATCCATCACACCAGCTTACATTTATACGGGATGAACAGCCACAACATATGCCATCATCTGTTCAAAGCAATGGACTTTCAGCTTCATCATCTGGATCCTTTATTTTGCCAACTGGTCAAAGAACATCTAACGATAATAGGTAGTCTTATCTTCCTTTCCCAAAATGAACTTTTTAAGCATGTTCTTGTATGAGCAGGGAGTATGCTATAGTATAGTAAATTAACTTGATATATACATTATCTTTTTTCCCATATTTATTCTCTAGTCTTACTTTTTTGTCAATTTCAGAAGCTATGAGAGTCAGTCTTCCCTATCAAATCTAGACAGAGCTGGACCCTCAGAGTTGCAGTCGTTTTCAGACACTTGGAAATCTCGATTCAGTGCAATTTCGATGAAGTATGAGTAATATCATTCTCTCAGTTCTTATATTATATACTAGTTTCAGATGTTCTCAGTGCCCTCTCAAGTCTAAACTGTGTTGAGATATGATTATTTTGTCCAAGATACAAAGAATCGATTTCAAAAAGTACAAGAGGATTGAAGGAGAAGCTGTTTTCTCGAAGCTCGTCGATGGCAGATATTGGTTCTGAGGTTAGGAGGGAGGTGAATGCTGGAATTGCTACTGTATCCCGCATGATGGAACACCTTGAAACTAGAGATAATAATAGAGATGGTCGTATTCCTCTAGCAAACAGCCCAGTGGATTCTTCTGTCTCAGCACAAAGGAACCATGATGATATGGACACGCATAATGAAGTACCATTGGATAACAATAATTCTGCTGCCTTTGCCACAAGTTCAGTTTGACATTAAGTTATATGACCTAAGATGAATATTTTCTCAATCCTCAGTATTTCATCTTTGAAGGTGAGTTATTCTACCGTCTGAAGTGGTCAAGAGATATATGTTGATCTTTATGCAAGTAGGAAGATATTTTGTAGGGCTAGATGGTAGCCACATTGCCATTAGTGGATGACATAGCTCAGATCTTGGTAATTCATTTCACATATATGACGGTGTTTAGGTTCATAATATTCTAGAAGTTTATTTTTATGTGATAGTCATACAATTAGTCATGAATCAATCTGGCACTAAATTATAAAATAGGTAATCAAAGAATAAAAGGGAAATAGACCTACCGCTGTATAATAGAGAAACAAAAGATTAGTTTGATAGTGGAAAAGCCACTCACCAGTTCTCTAAATTTTATGGTCAAGAAGGCAATATCAATAAAATAGTCAACTTAAATGTGTGTGTGTGTGTGTTTTTTTTTTTTTTTTTTTCCTTTGTTTGAATGCTATTCTCTCATGAAGTTAGCAATGGGAGCTCTACATTCTGTATTTATTTCTGTAGTAACTCTATGTGCTTTCCCTCTTCTTTTATCTCCCTTGATGCTACTTGAAGATTGAAATCAATATCAAACCTTACTTTTCTTTGCAATTTATTCAGAAAACATCTATATGAATTGAGCATGGCAAAGTTGACATACTATGACTGATATGCAGTAAATAAAGATGAGAGAGGATGAAATGAGTGAATTCTTGAGTTGACTGTAGTTGCCCATTAAAGATAACTGCGTGAAAAATCAATTTAGATAATTGGGGGCCCTTCAATGAAGGTAGCGAGTCCTGTTCAACGGTGATCATATGGGAAGTGTCTCCCAAAAATCTTTTAGAAATTAGAAAGAGATATGAACCTTTGTGATTTAATGTAGGAGATGACCCGAGATAAAATGAAGTAGAGAAACAGAATTCATGTAGCTGATTCCATACAACACAAGTTTGAGAAGGGATTGTTGAGTTGACTTCAATTGAAAAATGATCAAATCATGTGATGAATTATCTAGTGAATTGACTATGGTAGATGTAGTATTCAGAGCAAGAGAATTTATGCTGCAGTGCCCTTGTTTTTGACAAATCATAATTTCATGCCTGGGCATTGAAGTTACCGCGTAAATGGATCGCATGTTTGGCAGGGAGGATTAGATAGTAATGAACAAAATTAAGGGGAAAAAAACTTAAATCTTGTTTATTATATAATATGTAGTGTTACCTAGTACTATGTCCTAAAAGGGAATTAGTAAAGTTCAAGCAAAGTTCACCTTCCGTAGTTAGAACTTGATTTTAAGCCAACTCTAGAACTTGGTTGAAAGGGTCTTGTCCCAAGATAATTTAAGATTCAATGAAAGTCCCATCAATTTCTGAACTCGTGAATGTGGCTGCTGCTCTGTTTTCACAAGTCAATTGAGTACACTATTGTAAACCCTCGAGCGATCCTATGTAGCACAAGTCTTGGTGGCATATTTGTTTGGTATTTAAGGGCAAAGTTGATATGTGAATTACTGAAATTGATTCTTCCACAAGAAAATTTCATTTACGCATGCGGTTTTCATTTTCAGGTGGCTTTCTCCAAAGATGACGCACTTGAGGATGAGAGACCTGGCATCTGTTCAATAGGTTGTATTATTTGCTTCTGCCTGTAAATTCGTTGCTATTGAATAATGGAAATTTTCAGAAAGTGGTCGAAATATAAAGAGATGTTTGCTGAATGTTTTTACTTTGACAAGAAGATAGCAGCTCTGCTCTTTAAGCCCCTGTTTGAGCCCCATTATTCTTTAAACTTATTTTCAACTATACATTCCACTATAAGGGTCCGTTTGATTGAAACGAATTTCATGGAAAATGTCACATCCGAGTAATTCGCTTTCTACTTTGGCTGTTTGATATAAAAGTGAAAATGGAGTTCAAATTCTAAAGTACAAACACTTAAAGCATGTTTTTAGCCAATTTCATGGAAATCAAAATTCTATGGTTTTGGTGGTTTTTTCCCCCTCCAACTTACATGGAATTGGTTTGTTGTTCCACCTTTATAATCAAACAGACATTAAGATAATTTTACAGATAAATTTAAAATTTTTTCTTATTTTTTAATTACACATTTTTTTTTAAATCACTATTTTAAAATACATTATCCTATGAAAAGGGGCTTATGTGTTGAGTTTGGTGAATGATTGCAAGTTTTCATATCATACCAAGGACTATTTAGGTGTGTGCGTGTTTTCTAACCTTATAAAAGTTAATCTATACGTAGGAGTGGGCAAAAAAATTGAAAATTTGATAAAACACCGGTTTTTTTTTTGGGTCGGTTTGAACCAAAAATTGATTTGGTTAGGTTAATTTTGACCATTGAAAAGTTGGAGAACCGCAACCAATTTGTCAATTAATCGACTCAACCTATTAATAATTTTTTTTTTTAAATTCATATTTTTAAACTTAAAAAATAAAACAATAAAAACATAAATATAATTCTTCATCGAATAATTTGTTTATCATCTTTACTTTTTCTACAAAGATTTCAAAAGAAAAGAAAGCAAAGAGGAATTATTTATTGTAAAAACCAAATTTAGATTGTAGGCTTATTTTTCATTTTGATGTATTGTTTGTTGGTAAGTAGGATTGTGTTCGACTAAGTCAGTTTGGGTTTCAGGTTGATTAAAAAAAAAACCCAACTTGAACCATGCCCAGGCCTATCTATATGTAGATTGTAGAATAGTTAATTCTAAAAATAAGTACTCTTTTTAGAAGACGAAATGAATTTCAATTTTCACCATATTTTCGTGGTAAATGCCTACATCACGATGGCTTAGATTTAAGAAAAATCATGATGGAGATGAGACCATGTTAACATATGAAACCCTGCCATGTGTGAGGAGGAGGGTTGCTATGAGGCGTCGACCCTCTTATGATTCGGAACATCAAGTAAACTTAATAGCTTATATCTTAAACATCATTATTTTATTACCTAAGCTCCAAATAAGGTAGTTTAGTTATTTCTAAATACATGCCCTGGAGTTTGATATTTTGCCTTGGTCTTAATGTGTGTGTGTGTGTCTATATATATATATATATACACACACATTTTAGAATTGACAATTACATTAACTCTTTAATTATATATTTTATCAATTTTTATTAAAATTTACCAAATATTGATTTTTAGTCGAATAATATGGGACTTGACTATTTTCATTGACTTTTGGTAAACTTTATATAGAAAACAAGTTTCTCCCTCTTTGATCTTGATTGAATTATTTGTGGGGTATCCAAATCTTGATCAAACGCTCCTTCAAATCTTGATCGAACGTTCCGTCAACTAGGAATATTTGCAGGATTTCAATTTTTCGATCGAACGCTCCATTAACTATGAATATTTGCAAGGTTTCCAAATCTTGATCGCTAGAATTTAAAGAGAAAAATAAATTTCAAGAAGGGAAAATTATAATCACGATGTCCATATAATTGTGTTATTGAAAAGATCACGTGGGACTTCAAGTGGGCCAACATTAACACATGATTTTCATTTGATGCAAATCCAAATGAATTGAATCACATTTTGCACCGACACAATTTTTTTTCAATCGTGTGGTTGGTATTCAAAATTTTATTAGTTGATATTAATAAATTTTAGTTTGTGATTCTAACTTTCCATTTCTTCAAATGATAATTTATAAATTAGGGTTAGTAGGCCCTTAAGAATTAGATATTTATATGAATTATCATAGCATTAATTTCAAGGGTAGAAATATTGTCGGCTGTAGCAAAATCTCATCAATAATGCTACCTATAGAGATTTATTTATTTATTTATTTTTTTTTTAACATTTGGTTTACAATTGCTGAGTTGGCAAGATTTTACAAGTTGGGTTAACATTTTTTTTTTTTTTTTTTAACATTTGGTTTACAATTGCTGAGTTGGCAAGATTTTACAAGTTGGGTTAACATTTTTTTTTTTTTTTTGCATAAGGGTATGAAATCTTGCCAACTCATCATTTGTAAATTAATCAGTTAACTTTTTTTTTTTCTACAAGTAGCGTAACTCAAATATCATAGACATAGGTATTCAATATTTTTTAGCCGAATGGATAATCAATGAGAATACTATAAATGGTACCATTTTTGTTTCAAAATCATATTGTTCACCTCTAATTTGGTCTAATTCTGCTCCACAATTAAAGTTCCAAAATGATATTTAGAGAATTTACGTTAACTACATACTAAAAAATAATAATAATAATAAAATTATAAATGATCGAATAAAAAAATTTAAAATTTTATTTTTTTTCGTTTTTCGATTTGGAGTTCTAGAATCAAGAATCAGATTGAATCGATAGATAATTAATTTTAGTACGTTTAAAATTTTAGTAGAATTCAACATAACCAACGGGTTTGATGAGATATTTATCTACTTCTAAGTATAAGGGCAGGCTTGTAAATCTGAGGACGACAAAGATCTTCCATTAGGAGAGATTTCTCCATTACAGTGTGTGACTTAAAACCTACCTTCACGCGTCACACGCGCTGCAAAAGGTCGTGGTTATTTATATCTTGGCGTAGAATGGACGAACAACTCGGATAAATGACTTTTCTTAAGTGATGATGGAGATTCGGCTTCTAAAGGCTTAGCAGCCCCAGGCCATAATTCAATGGGACCAGCGGCTTATCGTAGGCACGTTTGCAACCGCAGCTTTGACCGGTTTATGGTGCATTAAGTTCCTCCTGATAGGTGATTTCTCTGTCACTTCCTATCTATACCTAAACATGATAGCACTTTAAAAAAACCTAAGACCTCTGCTGTGCCTAAACTAAACATGATAGTTCTTCAAGTCGACGGACATTCATCTATCATTCTACATATACAGATTATGTGTACATGTAGAATAATTCCAAACTTATTATTTGCATGTATTTTGGACTATTTATTAATTTTATAGATTCAAAGTGTTATATCCAAAGTGAGGTCGATGTAGGTCGATGTCCACCTCAGCATACAGGTGTCTACAATGTATGCTTATCTTGTAGTTGATTTGAATCCTTAACTCTTCGACGTTATATCGAATTAAGCTCGAGGCAAATTTTCAGTTACCTACCAACTACCAAAATGTCGATAAAGTGGTTCCACGGCAATGCAAGACATTGTCATCCACCTTGAGTAGAAGTATGATTTATGTAGACACAATAAAATAACCAATATTTTACACGATGCCAGGTTGTTAACCCATCAAAAGTTTTGACAAGATGACAACAGTTCGAGAATTATGCAAGTCTTAAGTAATTTTGACACCCCAACAAATTAGAATTATGTCATCGGAACCTCTCTTTTTTTTTCTCACTAAACAATTGATTATAAATGCATAATCTTTTATTCTATTGTATCTTCTTTTAGGTATAAATAAACTACATGCTCCCTCCTCCTAAGGTTTTTTGTCCTCATCACTCCAATTGCTCAATAAAAAAATGAACCATCAAAAAATTACAAGGAACTCAACCAAATACCATGGGCTCATTGGCTTATATTGGTAGACAGANCTCAATAAAAAAATGAACCATCAAAAAATTACAAGGAACTCAACCAAATACCATGGGCTCATTGGCTTATATTGGTAGACAGAGACATAGCAGCTCCTCAGCCACCCACCGCCACCGCCAACCCCACATCCCTCCTCCGCGTGGTCCCTATTCCAGCCTGTGCCAATCCACCCCTCTCCTGTTCCCTCTTTTTTCTTCACTTGCCAATTGCTATTAGACATTGGTCTATGCACTCAAGTCCACCCACAAACGCTACTTATTGACCCAACATTCTTAAGCAAACGAAGTCCCAACTTCACATTTTCTCACAAATACCAATTTATTTATTTATTTATTTTTCCGAAGAGTAAGAAACAGGAAATCATCAATAGCCATGAATTTTCAGATCTATGGCTTCTTCACAATCTTCAGTTTTCTTACTGTCGCAAGTTCTGCATTGCAACAAAATCCACCTGCCCAGATCAACTCCAACTCGGTTCTTGTAGCCCTTTTGGATTCTCATTACACTGAGCTCTCTGAACTGGTTGAGAAGGCACTTCTGTTACAGACTCTTGAAGGAGCTGTGTCGAAGCATAATATTACAATCTTTGCGCCGAGAAATGAGGCCTTGGAACGAGATTTGGACCCTGAGTTTAAGCAGTTCTTGCTTGAGCCGAGGAATCTGAAATCCCTTCAAAATCTGCTACTTTTTCATATGATTCCAACTCGCACTGAGTCTAAGCATTGGCCTGTGGAGATGAACAACCCTTCTCATCACACCAGTCTTTGCCGTGATGCATTCGATGAAAAAATTCAGTTAATTGAGAAAAATGGAGAGAAACTTGTGGGCGAGGCGAGGATTATTAAAGCAGATGATGTTGTTCGCCCCGATGGGATTATCCACGGCATTGAAAGACTATTGATTCCCAAATCTGTGCAACAAGATTTCAATACCAGGCGAAGTTTAAGGTCAATTTCCGCAGTACTACCAGAGGGAGCACCAGAAGTTGACTCAAGAACCCACAGGCTAAAAAAACCCGCGCCACCGGTTCCTGCCGGCGCGCCTCCGGTTTTGCCCATTTTCGATGCAATGGCTCCCGGTCCATCTCTTGCGCCGGCACCTGCTCCGGGTCCAGGCGGACACCACCACCATTTCGACGGGGAGAGTCAGGTGAAGGATTTCATCCAAACTCTCTTGCATTACGGTGGCTATAACGAAATGGCCGATATTCTGGTCAATCTCACGTCTTTAGCTTCTGAAATGGGAAAATTAATATCAGAAGGGTACGTGCTTACAGTTTTGGCACCAAATGATGAAGCCATGGCGAAATTAACTACAGATCAGTTGAGCGAACCCGGTGCGCCCGAGCAAATAATGTATTATCATCTGATTCCCGAGTACCAAACCGAAGAAAGTATGTACAATTCAGTGAGGAGATTTGGGAAGGTGAGATATGATACACTGAGATTACCACACAAAGTGGTGGCTGAAGAGGCTGATGGTTCAGTGAAATTTGGACAAGGTGAAGCCTCTGCATATTTATTTGATCCTGATATATATACAGATGGAAGAATTTCTGTACAGGGAATTGATGGAGTTTTGTTCCCGCTTCAAGAAATTAAACCTGCTCCTCCTAAACCTGCGACTGTTGCTAAGGTTGTCTCAAACCAAAGACGAGGTATGTTTATGTTGTATTGTTGTTTAAATCTTTGATTTGATTTGTGCAAATTGTGGGTTTTGTGAGTTTTGGCCGGAGTTTTAGCCAGTCACTGTCAATTATAATGCTTCGTTATGACTTCACTCGATTGGACTGGACTAGACTAGAC